TCGCGCTGCCCTGGCCCCCGCCGTGCAGGCCTCTGGGTCCCTTCAGGCCCTGTTTCTGCTCAGCCTAGTCCTGGTGGGGGTGAGGCACCCAGGGACAGGCCGAGGCTGTGGAACGCTGGGCTGCGCTGGGGCCTGAGGTTCAGGGGTGTCTCAAGGGCCCTGTTTTCCGAGGGCAAAAGGAATTCCGCGGAGGCGGGACTCGCGGGGCTGAAACCAGGAAAATGCAGGGGTGGCTCCTCTCTCAGCCCCGCTGTGCCCCACCTGATGGCCCGGCTGTGTGGCTGTGAGCCTCTGCGGCAGCGGCAGCAAGGCCACCGGAAACGAGGCCTGGGAGGGAGTGGGTCAGCCCGTGATTATCAGCTGGATAATTACCCCCCACCCAGGGCTAATTACCCCCGCAGCCTCCCTGGGCGTGGGGCCTGAATGAGCCTCCTGTCTGCCTGCCCCGGGGCTGGGGGCGGGGGGGGGGGACTGGGGGTGGCAACTTGGGGAGCTGGAAAGGCAGATGGCGGGCTGGTGCCCAAGGGCACAGGCTGGGACAGCACCTGCGTGAAGGGCCACGGCTCGGGGACCTGGAGAGAGGAGCCACTGACCTCAGCACAGCCCCGACGTGGGACCGAGCCTCCCAGGGACATTGCCACAATATGCCTCTGTCATCTCAGCTGAGAAAGCCTACCAGGGAAAGCTTACCATATTGTAGCAGAGATCACATGTGTGTGTGTGTTTAATATATTTTTATTGATTTTAGAGAGGAAAGGAGAGGGAGAGAAACATCAATGATGAGAAAGAATCATTGATCGGCTGCCTCCTGCATGCCCCCCACTGGGGATCGAGCCCGCAACCCGGGCATATTCCCTTGACCAGAATCGAACCCAGGACCCTTCAGTCCGCAGGCCAACGCTCTATCCACTGAGCCACACCAGCTAGGGTGAGGCCTATTCTTCCTCTTGGAGGTTCTAGAACCCTGGCCTGGGAAGCAGGGCCTCTGAGTTGGAGGTGAGGGGGGGCGTGCTGAGCTCACCCTCCTGCTGGCCCGGGGTTCAGCCACCTGCGCCCCCACACTCCACACCAGGAAGGGGGCTCCCACATCAGTGGGTCCAGCTGGGGAAGTTGCTGTTACCCATGTCATAGGCGCCAGCCCCCGAGCCTTGTGCTCATCTCCCTGTCCCTGGGACCAGCAGGCGGGGGCGGGGGCAGGACAAGGGCCTGTGCTACAGGCTCCCAGTGATGGGCCAGGGGCTGGGTCACCGCAGGCCCAGCAGAGGAAGGGCAAGGCCGTTCCTTCCGATTCACTAAAGGGCCCGTGTGCACAGGCGCCCTCCGGGCCAGCAGCAGGCCCCGGCCTTGGCCGCGAAGGGCGCTGCAGGTCTTCCCGCAAGACGGGGCGTCTCTTATCGGTGAGGACACCGGGGCTCAGGGAGGGGCACAGGGAGAGGGGACCTGATGGCCTCAGGAACCGACCCTCCCTGCATCACACGTGCTGCCCAGGGCCTCCCCGTCCCTCCTGTGGCGGGCTGCTGGCCGAGGCCCCGCCCCCCACCCCTGCACCCTCACTCCTGCTGACAGACAGGGACTCACACACGCAGGGCCACCACCACCGAGGCCCAGCCCTCGGCCCATCCCGGGACCAGGAGCACCTCTGCAGGGAGGGAGGGGGGAGGCTGAGAGGCCAGAGGGCACAGGCAGCCCAGGCCAGGCCCGGCCCCGCCACTCACGGGCCTGTGCTTCCCTCCTCTCAGCCCGGGCCCTGCACTGCCACGTGTGCTGCGGCCACGCCAACTGTGAGTCCCTGGTGGAGTGTGCCCAGACGGACAAGTACTGTGTGATCACGCGGGCCAGTGAGTACCATGCCCACCCCCCCACCCAGGGCCGCAGCGGGCAGCGGGCAGGGGCCCACCCGTCCCCGCTCCCGTGTGGATGTGAGAGCCACAGCTCTCCCAGCAGCCCCGGCCCCCCGGTGGGCTTTAGAGTTTAATATTTGTATGTTTTTTATTTTTTAAATATTTTTCATTGATTTCAGAGAGGAAGGGAGAGAGAGAAACATCTATGATGAGAGAGAACCATGGATCGGCCGCCTCCTGCACGCCCCCTACTGTGATGGAGCCCACAACCCGGGCCTGTGCCCTGACCAGGGATCGAACCGTGACCTCCTGGTTCCTAGGTCAGCGCTCAACCCCTGAGCCCCACGGGCCGGGCTGGGCTGGGCTTTACGGTAAATGAGAGTGAGTCCATGGTCAGTAGGCCTGAGGGGACAGGTGTGGGCGGGGCAGCGGAGCCGGCAGGAGGGCCTCTGGGGAGACGTTCCTTCCTGAGGGCGTGGGACGGCTGCCTGGCCCGGCCCCTCAGGTGGGCATGGGCTCTGTGCGCGGGCACTGCCCGCGGCTGAAACGCACAGGCAGCCACACGGCCTCGTTAACCCAAACCCCGCGGGGCTGGCTCTGCTGTGACCCGCACCATCGGGAGGGGACACTGAGGCACGGGGAGGCCAGGCCCCTCCCTACAGAGCGCCGCCCCCTCCTCCCGGCCCAGCTGCCGCCCGGGGCAGGGGAGCAGCACCTGCCGGTCCTCCCAGGACCCTCCCAGCGGCCGTGCACTGACCGCCGGGGCCTGGGGCAGATGATGGCAGTGGCTGAGGCCCGCTCCCTCCCCAGGGCTCTGCTTCCCAGCGCCACCCCCCTCTGTTCCCCTGTGGGCCCCAGAGCTGCTGCAGGCTGTGCTCTCCCATAGCCCTGCGCCCCGTTTCCTAAGGCTCCCAGCCCCAGAAAGGGGCGGGTGAGCACAGGGCCTGACCATCCTCTGGGCCCGAATCCCAGGCTCCAGGCTCGGTCAGAGGAAAGGGGCAGAGACGGGCATGTGCGTCCCCAGGCCCCTCCCTGGGCCCAGATGCCAGAAGGGAGCCTGGTCTGAGGGGAGACAGGCCTCCTGGGCCCAGAGGCACCAGGAAGGACCCCCTCCACTCACACACACGGGGCAGGCTCCCTCGGACCCTCACACCGGTCAGGCCCAGGGCTTGGGCGGGTGCCACCCACGGCCTCCCCCTGTCTCCACAGCCAACCCCGGCGGCATCCTGGTGATGAAGTCCTGCGCCCCGACCTGCCCCAACAGCACGGTGTCCTCGGACGGCCGCGCCCTCTCCGTCT